TGTTTCTATTCTCCCCTTTCATTTCTGGTATATTTTGTATTGCAGAGTTGATAGTTTACAATTTTGAACATGTACATGCATTAAGAAGGACAAGAAAAAAAAAACTAGTGAAATGATTGGATCTAGATGCTATATTATGTTATTACTTACTAATTGTAAACAACATAGTATGCTCACTAAGCTGTTTAAAAGTTGAAATGTTTATGATAGAAAATGTAAACAACATAGTATGCTCACTAAGCTGTTTAAAAGTTGAAATGTTTATGATAGAAAAGTTTCCCTTCTGAGATATTCTTAAGTTTAGTATGCAAGTGTTTAGTTTTTGAGCAGCAGCTACTTGGATTGGAATCTTATGTGTTAGTTTAGCTGTTTCTGCGATGTTTTGTTTGCATGCTATTACTTTGTTACATATATCTTCTGTTTTATTGCATCATTGTCAACTACACCTATGATTGCTGGAAATGGTTGAAGAGTTCCCTATTTTTCTGATTATCTATACGTCAGCAACCATAAATCCATAATTAAAGACATCAGTGTCATTATGATATCCTTTAACACATTTCTACTGTTCCTTCTTGCTAAATTTTTATTGCCATTAAGATACTTCCCAGAACTCTTGTTTGTTTGTATTTGTATATCACAAGTTGAGTATTAACTGACTCTCTGTGTTTTGCAGACTTGCTGGGGTCCTAACGCCCCTTGTGGCAAGGGTATAAGCAGCAAAGCTGCCAAGCAGGATGCCTTGGCTTTCATTAAAAGAACCATTGAACGAACTCATAAGTTTAAAAGTACAAGTGAAAGCTGCTTTAATGAGGCTGTGTTTATGGATGTGTTCCGTTCTGTCTCTTCGCTTATGAAAAATGCAGAATCTAATATTAGTAACAAAGATGGAGAATCCTTTAAACTGGATGCGGATACTCCTAATCGTTTATCAGAAGGAACAGATTCAGGTGCTTTATAATCCCTTCTAAGAATTGGTTGGCTATAGATACTAATATTAAGACAAACTGAAACATGAAACACCCTTAGGTTGTATATGACTGTTTTGTTGTCAGGTGACATCACATCTATTATTTCTCTTAAAACCATCGCACTTGAGACGGTCAAATTACATGATTATGTCAAATTTCATTAATTCATTCGTCATGTTACAGTTTTGTTCATTTTGTGGATGATAGTTTTTGTCTGTTTGCAGCTCCCTTGGGGTCACATCCTTTGTCTTCTCTGAAATCCCAGTCAAGGCAGAACATGGATTGTCATGAAAAGTATTCTTCTGATGATTTCCAGTCAGCAAATCAATTATCTGAACAAGTTACGGGGAAAGAAGACACAAGCTCAATTAGAATAAAAAGGCGAGAGTTGTTGCTTGATGATGTTATTGCTGGAAACGTAGGTACATCTTTAAGAAGTTCGCTTTTAAGTGGTGCAAAAGGAAAGAGGAGTGAGAGAGACAGGGAGGGAAAGGGGCACAACAGAGAGACACAATTTAGAAATGGTACTGCTAAAACTGGTAGACCATTTTTGGGCAATGCTAAGGGAGAAAGGAAGGCCAAGGCAAAGCCTAAGCAGCGGACAACACAATTGTCAGCATCTGTTAATGGCCTCATAGGCAAAACTTTAGAGATACCTAAAGAAGTAACACCATTCATCCAGGAATCTCGAAAATTGACGACCAACAGAAATGCTAAGAAAAATAAAGATTTGGGTTTGGACACATTGCCTGATCCTGAGGCCCTTGACTTATCCCACCTGCAGTTACCTGAAATGGATTCATTAGGTGTTCCGGATGATCTAGGTGAGCAAGGCCAAGATCTTGATTCATGGTTGAACATTGATCTTGGTGAGCAAGGTCAAGATCTCAGTGATGATGGGTTGCAAGATAATGATTTTATGGGACTTCAAATTCCAATGGATGACCTGTCAGATTTAAATATGATGGTCTAAGGGTTCCTCTGTATTATTCCTGTGAATTATGCAAGCAAAATGCTGATGCTGTTCGAGAAATGACTGCTAATAGGACAACCAGGTTTGTTAGTAGGATGTAGATTATTTTGGTCATTATTTAGAGACAAAGATCCATCGGTTTTTATGGAATTCGCTTCTTTTGCTCCAAGTTGGCATCCTTTAACATCTTTTTGTTCATGTACAAAGTAGTGAACACCGTATATAATCTTACCAATCACTGTATCCCAAATGTAGCATTTACAAATAGGATAACAGTGCCAATTGTACATACAATATATTTGAAATAAAATTGGGGATTTATTTGTTATATTTGTCTTTTCCTTTTTCTCTTGATATTCTATATTCCATGAAAATCATTGACCACGGAAACATTTATGTTTTATAAATAATGTCAAAGTAATGCATGAGAATGATGATTTTGCGGCTGGGGTTGTTGTTTTCAGGCTGTGATTCACCACGCTTGTTTAGCCACGTCTAGAGAAATGTAGGCTTAAGTTTGAGGTGTAAAAGTATCATACGTGCTTCACTCATAAACTCATAAAGATATGTAAATCAGAAGATGGTGTTTCTTCTACTCTGTTACAACTAATGTTGTAGATAATATAAAGGATTTACATAGCAGCACAAGGTAGCCTGCTTGTAATACTGAAGAGAGCATAGACACACAGAAACAAGTAAATCATTATTTACACACCTGCCAAGGAAGTATGGTAGTTTTGGAAAGAATTGCATCCATGTCCTGCCCACCATAGGTATAAGAAACTTTAGATATATAAAATCATGTTGGATATTTATCCATTTGATACATGGCGATTTTATTGGAGATTAACTGATTTTGACATGTTTGTCCTATTTTACTTTTATTGATTTTAATAATTCAATTTTAGTATGAATGTTGATTTAATTACAAAGACAGGAAGGTCTTTATAAAACATTTTATCAAAAACGCTATTTCATTTCGAGTATGGATTCAGGATTTCAGGTGTATAAGATTGCAAAAAGTAATAGGGGATCACATAGGCATCCAGAAACCTGTCATATTTCTTATATGTGAGGCATATGCCTCCCATATGCCTTAAGGTCTGAAACATTTGTATCAACTTATGTGTACTCCTTCTATTGCCTATTTGGGGTGTTTCCTGGGGCTCCTGCCTTGAGGCGTAATTCCCTGGTGTTAGCCTCATCCACTTCAAAACTTTGTTGAGGATCTAGGTAATTATCTTTCTTAGCCATCCTATTTTTTCACTTGATTTATCAGAGTTTATTCACCATGGTTAACGTTTTCTTCCATGTTCTAGTTCTCCTTCATGACTACAGGGGGATTTGTGGTTTTGATCGTTTCAGGTATTAGCTTTTCATTTGATAGGATAATGTGACAGTTGATGATCTACAGATATTATGCGTTACTTGATATATGAATTTCTTATGCTTTTTGAACTGTAAGTGTAATAATACATAATTAGTATGTTTCTTCAGGACCTCACAGCATCCAACTTCCTACTTCTGACTAGTTGGTTATTCCCAGCAGTGATAGTATCTTATCTGTTCAGGACTATTGATATCCTTTCTATATTATGTTTAGCTGAGGCTGCTGAGGTAAAGTATCGACCTCTATGTTCATAATTTATACTGTACTTTACTATCTGTCTATCTGGATGTTATGATTTACTATTGAATTTTCTTCAAATGGTTGCATTGTGATGTTGGTTATACAACAGAATCTTAATCATAGGTGCTTTCTCCTTATTTTATTCAGGCCGATTTAGACTCAACTAGGGCTTCTGTTTTTTCCTGTTGACTTTTCACTGGGTTTAAATGGCGGATTCTTCTACAGAAGTTCAGTTTTGCATCAATGCCTCCCTTGTTTTCTATGTACCACGATCACTGCTGTCACATTATCACACCACATGAGTGCCTTGTTGTCTATACCAATAGTCAACCAAGTTTAAAGATTTTATTTGATCTTGTCTACAAGAATTAACGTCTAATCATCCTTAACTTGTACGTTTGTATCCACTTTACCTTCAACCCGTGTGTCTAGGAGCAGCCTTTTTACTGTCATCACTTCCTCTCTTTTTTCAACCAACCGCCTTCCCAGTTTAGAGTGGTGTTTTGTCATGGTATGCACTCTCGACTGTAATCAGCTTTAGAGAGTGTATGTGAAAAGGAATTAATTACTCATGCCATTATTCTATGCTCCTTGCTTGGAGAATGTGGAATAATTCTTTCAGAGTGGGTGATTCAAGGTACTGTGTAAATCAAGCTTGTTGGGTATCAGCCGGAAAGGAATATGAGGTTTTTGAAGGGGCTTTTCTCAAGCTTGATGAAGTTCTTATTTTAGTAAGAGTCTCTATGATTTGTCTTGTCAGTAGGAGCTTTGCGATATCCCTTTCAAGTTGGCAGTCTAGTTTCTAGTGACTGAGAAGTGGCCTTGTTTGTGTTTTGGGGTTCTCACTTTGTTTTCTTTTATTTAAATGTCTGCTGATTATGTTGTTTCCATTGTATTTTGTTGTTTTTATGTTTTGAAGGTTAGAGAGAGAGAGAGAGTCAAATTGCTCCAGAATCATCAAGCAACAGTATCAAAATGAATTCTACTGTGGATGCAAGTGTAGATGCCAAACCCCACTGATTTAATAGCTCCAGGTAAGAGGAGAGGTATGTTCCCCCTTCCCCCCTCCAACACACACACACACAAAAGAAAAAAAAGAGTTGTTTGAGTATTGTTAAAATTCCTCTGTAGATCCTTTTCTTTGAACAAATTTTTGTTATACCCTGTGCTTAGTTGTATGTTACCAAGTTTATCAATAAACCAGCTGTTCTCACCTTTTTAATGAACCTTTCAAGAAAAGTTACCTTTTTCGAATAACTGTGGTATTCTTTTCTTCCTTCCTTCCCATAAGGACAATGGATATTATATGGACTTGTAATTTCCCTATGCAGGACCATATATTTGTTTGTCTTTGGTATCATGTTGACAAAGTTGGGAGCTGAACTTCATATAAGATGTAAGCTTTCCCTTTGTATGTTGGATTGTGAATCATACCTGGACGGGGTCAATGAGTGATCAAGAATGCTCATGGCCTAGGTTAGGGACCTCCATTGCACAGTTGGGAAGGGTGCTTAGCCTAAGATCTCCCCTTTGTGGGTGCATCTACGTCGTTATTTCTAAACAAAATGTTGGATTGTGATTCTTGTTTGCTATTTTTCATTTTAAACATTTATCATCCTATTTTATGATGAAGGAACTGGAAGAATATCATATTATCATGTCCGTAAATTTACCAATCTTCAAATTGTAATCAAAATGTCTTCCGAAATCTAGTGTTGAAACTGAACATATTCTTAGATTTTAGTGATTCATAGGGTCGAAATCTTGGCAAATTCCAGTTTTAATTCTGAAAACGGAATTTCACTGAAAGATGGTACTTGTTCTAACCAGTGGTTAGTTGGTCAGAAATGTTTGTTTTACTCAAGGATATCCTTCACAAATGTATGGTCACAGACTCACAGTAATTTCTCAGCAGCCATGGATGGCGTTAAATGAAGAATCTGGAGTGATTCAATGCTTGAGGCCAGTTTCAAGATGTCACTGTGCATGATAGAGCTGAGCGAAGTTCTACTTTATGGATCGAAGAATTTTCTTTTATCTGTCTCTCTTGTGTATTTGTGTGCTAACAATGTAACAAACATCTTACATTCATTGCACTTTAGATGTATGAGAACATATTGTATGTGTGTGAACATTGCAGTGACCATAATATGATGATATGCGAATTGTTTGTACCATGGTTTTCGTTTCCTCGTTTTAAATCGTGGTTTAAATTGCTTGTTGCTGCTGGGCAAAATATCTCTATTCCCTAATGCCTTACCTACTCGTCGTTCTTATCAAATGGTATAATTTTTTTTTTTGGATTGGCAAGAGAGATTGAAGGACCCTTGGCCTTTTTTATTTATGTGGAGAATTTCAACAATCAGCTGTTGAAGAATTTCTTACTCACGAGCTCTCCTCAAAGTGAGAGAGAGACATTGCTGTTGAGCGGCCAAAGGCCCACATGTAATGGTATAAGTTTTAATCACTTCTTCCCATATTGCTCCGAAAAGTTATCTGCATATGAGCCTCTTTGACTGTGGCATATATTCATGTTCTGGGGCGACTGGAGTATGTTCCATGTATATGATCATAAGAGAACATTTGTTGTACACCTTCATCACTACCTGACCCTGACTTTTGTTTCTCTACCTATCACTCAAGTGTGTTTTTGCAGTTCTTGCTTTGGAGTTCATGACGACGTAAGCTCAAACAAACAAAATATGCATGGATGCATGAACTACATTAACCTTCCATTGATCCTTCTATTCACGTTTTCAGTGATGGCGCCTTTGCTTGGTATGTATTACTTGGTAATTGGTATGCAGTCATCTGGTAATTGGTAATCTGGTTGAGCGGAAATAATGAAGCTCCATTCCCTGCCATCTCTATGCATACACTTCATTGTTTCCGCGCATCATTTCACTTGCTTCCTTTCACTAAGTTTTCTGACCAATTAATCCCAATCTACTCTCCCCTGTTTTTCTGCAGTCTCAAACCTTGAGTTATCCATGCCACTACTTATGTCAGCTTCTCAGCCTTTGAAGTATACCTTATGTCTGTGTTTTCAATTCAATAAGCCTGAACTTTAAAACTGAAGGGCCTAAAATATTCAGTTTCACCTGCTGACTATTCTAATCACACCAAAAGTTACGAAATAAATCCTTCTTCTGCTACAAATGCCTGCCATATTACTTCAGTTTCTCCATCTGACAGGAGACTCAAAAATGAAACCTGGCTTTTTGCGTCATAAGATCTAGAGAAAAACCCAACATCTTGAAATTCAGTTAAAACTTAAAACTACAGAGACAAGAGAGACATATAAAGCATGCTGCATATGCTACGCACCACATAAAATGTAGCTCAAGATCCTGAAAATTACTGTATCAGCAAATTCCTTCGTATCAAACCAAAACAGAACCTGCAAATATAATGGATATTGTTTCCACTTTTCTCTCTGCATGTTAACTATTCCCTTTACAATGCTTGATGTACAATCCCGCCAGTTAAGCAAGACAGACATGAATTTTAGAAGAATGCAGGGAGAAGGGGTCATGATACCTTGAGACTAATAAAAACGGACACCAACCAAGAAAAGTCATCCTTTCACTTTAACTCGAGCAACAAGTTTATTCTAGATGCTTATTGGAAGGGCAACTTTGTCAACGTTTGCAGACTGCAGAGTGCCCAATTTGCACGAAGGAACTGGCGAGTGATAAGTTATGGAAGACCCCTTTGTTAGTCACATAAACCTCAACTTTTGTCTCCTATGACATGGTTGTGGTTGTGTGGGACAAGAAGGGTGCTAAAATAGGTATATACAACAACAACAACAAAAACTCATAAAGTCCATCAAGCATAAAAATTTCCTTAAACTCGCCATCACTAGATGTTATAAATGGCAATAAATATTCACTCAACACAAGTACACAACAAAACATAACTATCTAAGTTTTCGCTGCCATTTCAAATAAATATGTCAGTTAATTTAATTAGTAACAGAAAAGGTACAAAACAAACATGAAGATCGACACTATATGTGATGGATTCATATGAGCAGTGACAAGGTTCCATTTGATAAGAGAAAAGGTACAAAAAGAATACTAAGATCAATTTCATCTACTATTTGTATTGAAGTATGTGACCTGAATTACAAAATCGTGCTTCCTCTTCTCTGAGTAGTGACAAGGCTTATCCATGAAAGACCATCTTTCTATTTGTTCGAGAGCAAATGAATCATTTACAGTGCTCCACTTGGTATTGTTCCACGACTTCAACTCTCTCAAGCCACAGCCAAAAAGAATTACAATGTAAACGGAAAAGAAAAATAACAAATCTTTGCGACTATAGAAATTTGGTGCCTGCAAGCCCACGGTGCAAGAGATTGTGAGCAATAGTTTCCCTCGCTTGCATTGAAGTCGCTGATCTCATGTTAAATTCAGGTACCATTTCATCGTCAATGAGGTCAAAATTCAACTCTGGATCCATTACTTCGTTCCTCATTTCACAAATATTATGCAATACACAACATGCTCCGAGAACCACAGGCAAGTCTTGGAGTTTAACCTCTGTCCTCTTCTGCAAACAAGACCACCTGCCCTTCAATCTCGCAAACGCATCTTTGGAAACCCTTTGAATTTCTCCAATCTTTTCATTAAACGCGTGTTGTGTCCATGTAAGATTCTGTTGTATATAAGGCACCAATACCCAATCCATTAGTGGGTAACCTGAGCTTCCAACAATCCAAACACCCTTCAAAGCCCCTCCTTTTGCTCGTTGATGCAAAGCTGAACTCTCAAGTATTTGATCATCAGGCATTGAACCAGGCCAACCAATGCAGACATCAGTAAACACCCCTTTTGGATTAACAACCCCTTGAACTGTAATTGAATACGATGTCTTCTGATTACGCTCAGTGTGTCGCTTATTATAATAAGCTGCAACACTAACCTTTGGAGCAATAATTGGTATATGAGTAGTATACATAGAACCCACAACATTGGGTATTCCAGAAACCTTTTCAAACTCATTCTTAATGCTATCTTGTGTTTCTCCATCAGGCCATTGAACATATTTAGGCATTAAAACATTTTTAATTGCAGCACATACCTCAAGAACAAGCTTATGACAAGTCGAAATACCCAATCCAAATCGCTTAGAAACAAGTCTAAGTGGCTCACCTGTAGCTAATCTCCATATACAAACAGCAACCCTTTGTCGAACAGGAATAGCAGCACGTAACATAGTATCTTCTTTAGCTACAGACAATTTCAATTCTTCACAAATCATATCGAAAGTCGCTGGACTCATTCGAAATGCTTCACGAAACTTAGATTCAGGATAATCAGGATGATTACATTCATCCCACCAAGCTTTAGATCTATCCTTAACCCAAAGCCTCCTTTGTTGACCAGCAGCAGCAGCAGCAGCACCCACACCAGTTGTTTGATTATTTGCGGCAGAGAGAGCAACAGCAGAAACAGCTTTAGCAGCAGCAGAAACACGAGATTTTTTAATATGTAAATGATCAGATTCATCTAAATCAGAATAATAAGTTTGTAAACTAGAATAAGAATCAAGCATAGCTTGTTTTTTCTTGATGTGGGTTTCTTCTTGTTTTTCTTCATTATGTAGTTCATTTTGATTGATCATTTCTTGTTCATCAATTAAAATTAATGAAGCAAGAATCTCTTTCCAAGCCTTTTTCTTCTTCCCACTTTTTGTTGACATAAATTCATCTTCTTCTTCCTCATGCTCTCCTTGTCCATCTTTTCGTTTTCTTTTCTTGTTCATAGTAGTAGTAGTGATTGTGTTTGATGAAGAAGTTGGGTTGGTAATAGTATTATGAGTTTCTCTCATTTCGTTAAGAGCACCTTGAAAAAATAAAGAGTAGAAATAAGACAAGTCTTCGTCTTCTTGTTGTTGATGATGAGTAGTCGAAGTAGGAAGGAGTTTCATGTGTGTATGTGTTTTAAGAAGAGAGGAGACTTTTTTGATCTTTGGTTAGAGAAGAGAGAGAAAATGTAGAAATGTTTGTTAAATGTGGATAACGTGAAGTGTGATTTGTGAATGTGAACATGTAAAAGAGGTTGTTTGAAATTTTTTTGATTGAGAGTTGAAATGAGAGAATGAAGTTTATATATATATATGAAAAGAAAAGAGCGTGTTTTTGGTAGTGTGAACGCGGTTGATAAAGTTAATAAACGAACAACAGAAGGATTCTTCTAGGTAGGTCAGTCATCAATGTGTCAGTGTTATTATGTATGACGGTGACTTTTGGGATTATTAAACAACGCGGTTGCTTACTTGCTTGCTTGTGCTGTTGGTTAATGAGTTGAATTGAGTTTTGTTCATGTGCTTTCCGACTTTCCATTCCAATACATGTTGACTTCAGTCTTATTTTGTACACTATTTGCACACTATCATCTTAAATGGGATCTATTCAAAAATGTCATGCTGCAGGACTATCTGACTTGAAAGGAAACCTATCTATCTTCGAATGCTCTATGCCTCTATCTCTATGTGCCAAAATATGGGAGGAGTGGTTCCCAAACCTGTCATTTTCCTATTTTTTTGTAACAGGTTTGGAAGAGCCACTCGGACTCTTCCAA